TGGGACAGTAGGCCCTAAAAAGTGAGCACCAAAGCAATGCAGCACCTTAATGCGGGTATACAGAGCTTTATCTTGTAATATTCATAATCAAACTTCCATAAACATTCATGCTGGAAGTTAGGTTGCAACCATGCTATGAAGCAGCTTTGTAATTGTTCCTAATGAAATATAGCTGAAGAAAACAATTTGCACTGCTAATACTAATTACATAACATGTTTTTCTGTTACTTAGAAATGGGCTTTGGACATCGAAACCACATTGTTAGTGGATGCAAAAACAGCGGTAAAAAGTTGGACAAAGCTGAAATCTTCAAGGTCATAATCTCCTCGTACAACAATCGTTCAAACTCATATTTTATAATATTTAAAAAAAAACAATAGGGGAAACAATTCTTTTCAAATTATACGCTTAATAACTAATTTCTATCAAGGTTGGCCTTTGTAAAAAAATCTTTTGGTGCTTACTTTTTAGGGGCTTTTATCCCAGAATGAGTGGGAGCCATGTTTTTAAAACTCTTGATGTGTATATATTGGCAGAAATGCCCACATTTTCAAGTTAAGGAAATAGAAATATTAATAGTCCCTAATGGGGAAATTTGTCTATTGCATTTGTTTACCCATTCCTTCGCTCGAATTTGCGCTCCGACCGCTCTGCTGTGGAGTGAAGCCAGAAAGTGCCTCGAGCAGCATGTGCAGATAACACAATAAAAGCCAGAGATAAATGTAGAGGTCAGACCAAAAATAATTTTAAACTGTTATATTCTTCAATGGGTGAGTGCACTGAGTGCAGATATAACTGTAGCATATTTTGGTGCATTGCATATCTATTTGTTATTCTTTCTATTACCTAAGTTAACATATACTGCTCAGTAATCAATGTTATGCCTGCAATTATTAATATGAATCTCAACAGCATGATGTCTCCACCACCATGTTTCACAGTGGAGAGGCTGTGCTGGTTTGCCATTTAACGTTATTTATTAATTTGATCACCTCTTTTCTCCTAATTGGAAGTACTATTAACACCTAGGAGTGATCTAGTCAGAACTCCAGCTTTAATCTGAGGAAGAAGGCAGGGAAGCCATCCAGACTAAAAGAAATGGAATTAATCAAAACACCAATGGAAACATGCTAAAAGATGGGCAGGAATTTTAACAAGCTAGAGATAGTCTGCTGTTAGGAACAACCTCTCCTTGTATAATGAGAATGATTTTGTCAGAGATATTAGTACTTTTTTGGTGTTACTTTAAATATTGAATGACAGCTTTTGTTATAACCAATTCATCAACCAAGAAAGAGTAAAAATATAATTTTATTTTTGCTCAAAAAGAAGAAAAGAATTAAAACAAGAAGTGACTTTATAATATCAGTTATGTGAGTTTGGTCACTGAAACATTAAATTGGTCAATGTCCAGTTTAAATGTTTACCTTGAGGCTCATACATCAAAGAAATGACAATCAATGGAAGAGAAAAGAAGAGATGGCCACTGGCTGAGGCTGGTTGGGGTCAGTGCCATCCATTCACCCCCTCTCTCCCTGCAGGGTTTTGCTCTCTCTCATCTGTCTGGATGGGTGCCCTCTCTCTGGGGCATGACACTGTGAGAGGCCCTGGCTCTGCTGCCATCTCTGCCTTTCATGTCTCCATCTAGGGCAGCGGTATAGAGACGTGAAGCGGAGGAAGGATGGAGAAGGTGGGGGTGGAGGGGTGGCTAGAAATGTCACCCATAAGCGGGGATTTAATTAAAAATGACAGGGGTTGGTGCTGGAGAGTGCAGCCACATATGCCTGGAATTTGGGTGCAGTGAAAGCAAGTGCCTATGATTTATAATTCAAGTAATGCTCTACACTCCTTTTAATTCAACAGCCAAAGAGAAAAATATCAAAAGGCTGCCCCTGTGAGGCTAATCCAATATGATATTTTTAAGGGCAGGCGGTCAATAGCTCTCTGAAAAGCCAGCTTCTCTGTCTCCCTTTCTGCTTCTGTCTTTTCTCCACTTGTCTGTCTCCCCCTATCTCACTCTGCTGCCTCCCTCCCTCCTCCCTTTCTCTCCCTGTGCACTCCTCGCTCTCCAGTACATCACCCCGCCCCTTTCAAAGCCCAGACTCGAAGCGGGCTGTGATAATGGAAACATCCCGCTCTCCGCCTCCCGTTTCTCCTGCTAAGCTCTGCGCGCTCGGGGGAAATTGATTGTCTGGCTAGCCGATCTGAGCGCTTCCAGCTGATGGTAGAGCCAGTTAAGTCCTTTTTTATTGAGGGTATGAGGGATTTTTAATGGGAGTCGCATCAATGAACTGTGCAGCCACTCAGCATCTGCATGCAGTGGTTTTTCCCCCGAAAAAAAACCCTTCTTCTTGTGCTCTCATCCCAGTTGCTCACACACACCCACACACATTTAAGTAAAGGACAGAGGATGCAAATGGCACAGCTCACTATTTCCTCCCCGGCAGGTAATCCCTCTCCTGCACTCTCACTCTATCTGTGTTCTTTTCTGCAGCATGGGTCGCCCTACCCCCGACCAGCCTCCATTCTGCCAAAAACTGGGCCACGACCAAATCAGTCACGAGGACTCGGCTTAGTGTGGCGACCTGAGTTTGCCCACCCCAGCAGCCAGACCCACTGCTTTTCTGTGCCCCTTCTGGGCCTGGACAAACAATCGCCTTATTGAGGCCAAGTGCTGCCCAGTGGTGGAAATCCAACACTAACCACCCCCTCCAAACCAAGGACAGAAAGAGGGCTATTATGTCCAAACATCCTCATTATGAACCTCAGATTCGCCCGCTGTAGTAGTCCTTCCATCAAAGGGTTTAACAGGTGGGGAAGTGAAGCTAGACATAGAGGGTCAGTAAGAAGGAGGGGAAAGGGGAACGACTGGAGACTGTTCCTTTTCTCTATTGATTTGAGTCCTAACTCACACTGGCTGCTCCTCAATAAAGAACCTTGAGAGGAAGTGGGCTAATCCTGTGAAATTGGAAGTGGGGAATCGATTAAGAGCACTATGGAGGATTTCCTCCATTTCTCCTTCTTCCCCCTCCCTCTTTTTGCCTTTACTAATTTTATTTTCAACAGTCCGTCTTCCTCCCTCCCCCTCTCAGTTCACCTTTCCCTGAAACTTCATTAGCGAACGACGGTGAACCTTTACTTAGATAAAGAGCCACATCTTCCAGCAGACCACAGAGCTTTATAACCTCTCAAGTGTCCTCTCTCTTTCTTTGTCTCATTGCTCCTTATGGAGCAACCTGACAGGAACAAGAAAAAAAGCCAGCTTCAAATCTGAGAACAGAACCAGCATACAGCCCCCTTCTTGGTGCTGGTCTCTGTAACAGGCTACTGAGGTGTGATCTGCAGCAGAGAGGTAGCTAATTGGTCAGCGTGAAGCCGAGAATGAATTGTAGTTTATGTTTTTCCCCTTTCTGCAATAAGAACTACTCTTTAAGATGAATAGATGAAATCCATTCCAAAAGTAATTATGCAGTTCTAACGTCAACATTTTTCATGTTAAAATACCAACCTGATTATGTTTCATAGTTTTTTGTGTAAAAGATAAACAAAAATTACTAGAAATTAACTTCTTTTTAATGAATAAAACTCTGAAATATACAACTTTCAGCTTTCTGTAATAACCCGACAAAGAATCCTACAGAGGAGCTCCAGAAATCTATAGCTCTGGCTGATAAATCTGCTGAAAGTATATCAATGGTCGAAAGGTAAACATATAGCCAGTTGTATAACTAATAGGTTTATGTCACATCGTATTCATGTGTTAGAATGTAGCTGTTAAGTTTTAGCTGTAAAAAAAAAAAAAAAAAACATTTAAAAGCAATCTATCAAAACCCTTTAACCATACAAACTTTTGTGATAAAACTGCCTCCAGCCATTTCTCCCCTCTGGGTACGGCATGTAAACAACAGCTGCACCCTTGTCTTATTAAAATAGTTTTATTTAAAGCAAATTCTAAGGTTAGGAGAAATGAATTCCCTTCAAACTGACTGGAGCCAGATTATGTGTTTCTGTGAGGTATGATACAGCCCCCGCCCCCACTATTTTGTGAGTGGACAGAGGACGATGCTCGGGAACAGCAGTTGCCACACTTTAGATGCGGCCGGCACGTCCAGGGCCAGACACTGTAAATGTTTACAGACCCTCGGGGTCAGCAGGGCCAGTGAGGCCTGTTAAACAGTGTCTGTTCAGTTCTGTTGTCACGACTGCACAATCAGCGCAGTTAAACAGGCTCCCCCACAATGAGTAGCCAAACTACTCAGCAATCCAAGTTGTCAATGCAAATTAAATAAAATTGTTTAGAATTGTTGAGGGGGAAAAAGGGGACAGTGGTGAAAACTTCTCTTTCACCTTACTGTCCATGTTTAACATGAGCAGCAGATAAAACACAAACACCAGACCCAGTATTTTACATCTTTCAGAGGGAAACCACACTATGCTCTCCATATTACCCAGCCCTTTAAGTTCCTTGTGAAATGTATAAAAAGTCAACCATGAATTTATGATAGGAATATAAACAGGGTCCCACTTTAAATATGCGGCCTGAAGAAAAATTGGAACGGGAGGGGAGGAAAGAAGAGTGGAATAACCCAGGGATGAAATGGCAGAATACAAATCAGGAAAAAAAGAAGGAAAGTTGGGTCATACGTAAGGATTAAAGGGAGGAAGTAAGGGAAGAAAGACAGACAGAATGAAGGCAAGAAGGAACCATGAAGCACAAAGGAAAACAAGGAGGCAAAGGAAGGACAGACACAACGAGGGAAAGAGAAGAAGGTAGGGTGATCAAAATAAAGGAAGGAAATGAGGAAGAAAAGGACACATGAAAGGACGCACATAAGACTGAAACAAAGAGGAATATTCTTTCATGCTCTTCCTCTTACAAAACTATCCAGACATGAAAAATACTTAAACCACTTTCCAAAGTAGAACCTCTAAACCTAGACCATCAAAGCGTTTGGCTGAATGCGAGCTAAACACCTGCTCCATGCTTCTTTTAACTTACATTTACGTGCAACGACTTGCGGCGGCTCCAAGTTCTTGCTGGCACACACCGGGTGCTGGGGTGGAGGGTTCTGCCTCCTCTGCAGACAGGCCAGCATGGCGAGGTGGACACAGTTCTACAGCCGGGGGAGTTCTGCGGACAACCTGAGTCAGGGCGAGAAAAAAAACCATTGAAGGGCGAGTTAGATACGAGGTCAAAGCTGTGCACGGTCCGGTCTGGGAAGCCACTGGGGGCCCTCTCACCGAAGTTTTAATTGGGAAGCACGCCTACAGCTGCTCGCCTCTCAGCTCTGTGTCCAGAATGATAAACACACACCTGCATGCTGTGGAAGCGGGGGGTGGGTGGGCGCTGTTGACACGGGAGCAGAGCATAGTCCAGGTCAGTCACTCTGCAGCTTTAAACAGCACATCCACACAGCCATTCAACCACATCTCCTGTCTGTGAAAGCATGCCCCAAACAAAACCTACAGAATCACACAGAAAACAGCTCCACTCAGCTACATTGGGCCACATTCTTTCCAGGGCAGCGTGGATGTGGTGATTGATGGCGTTATCTATGGTGAACAAAAAAATAAAAGGGAATGCTGAGAAAACAGCAGTCGTTCTGCTACAGCTCAACATGCAACAATTCTGGAGGACTGTCAGAGAAGGCCTGGGGCGCCCGAGCTGTGTCTGGATGTATGCTGAACTGTACAGTTGCATGTGAAAGTGGGTGTATGTGAGCAGATGTGATGAGATGGGAGGGGAGAGACTGCCAACCGTACATCAGGGCTAGTGACGGCACTAATCAATCTCCCTCTAGGCCATAAATCTCCAACTCTCCTTCCCAGCCCCACCTTCACTTAGGGACGGGGAGGCAGAGGCGACTAGTCTCCTCTTAAAAAGTCCATCCCATTCCCAGAGGATATATGAACATATATACATATATATATATGTACATTTGAAAAAAAGCTGAAACAACCCCCAGCAATCAGAATCCATGGACAGCGTCATTCATCAGGAGCATGGCGGTGTCAAACAAAACAATGATGACTGATTATAAAATCTTTCACTTGAAAAATATAGGGGATAGTAGCAACCAGAAGATATATTTAAACTCAGAAAGTTTATTTTATGAGATAAGGGATAAAGTAAATATTGAATATTTATAGGAAAATAATATGATTGTGGCTTTAATCTGGGCTCCGCCTCTGTGTGAGTGTTATTTTTTTTCCAAATGCGTCAACATGCAATACAATGGTCTCCATCTAAGCTGGTCTCCTCCCATATTAAAACGCAGAGCAGAGGAAAATATTTCATCTGAGCTTTCAGTGCCAGCTTCTCTCCGGCTACGATGCGTGGCAGATCACTGAAAAATGATTTCTCATGCGCATGTCACAGCCTAGCCCTCTGCTATTTATTTTCTCAGTGAATCACTAAACGAACATTTAGCCACCTGCCATCAGTCCATTACTGGCTTTCATAGATTATCATTGTATTATGAAAGAAAACAATAGCAGTGATTACAGGATGAATTAATGGCAGCTCATAGAGCTCTGGCTCCTCTTCTTGCTCATTTAAAGGCTATACAAATGCAGAACGCTGCTGCAAATGGTCGTAAATTTCAAACAAATGTTGAAGCATTCAATCAAAAGACCTCCATAAATGACGTAATGTAGCTGCAGTATATGATCAAATCAGAAATCATAAAACATATCATGTCCAAGAATAACTTAATAATGTTTTGGTGCAGTTGAACCAAAGGATTATGCTTAAGGCAAATGCAGACTAAAAATGATACAGAGCAGTGTAGACAATATCATTTGGACATGCAAATATCACATACTGTAGTGTCATGTATGTCGTCCACACTGCCTTCATATGAATGCCTCATCCATGGCGGTCTAAAAGGGACAGCGGACATGCTTCATTTGAACTAAACGTGTTGTAACTTAAAAAACTAATCAGTATGTCCCGTTCTATCAACTTCTCAAAGACAGAGATGAGTTAGACTAAGCTGACTCCTTAAAAATAAGAAAATACCTTGAAACCAGTGTTCAAAAGGAATGGATCCACAAGATCTGGCTTTGTTTAAACTCTCATAAGTCTCATCCCTGCATCCCAGTGTGAAGCCGACTCCTCCGGCAAACCAACCCTATGCTGCTTTTAAATCAAAAAGACCAAATAGAGATATACATTTTTCACAACAGCCTCCTACAGGGCGATAAGTGCCGGTTCATGAACTGTATGCTCAGAGGAGAGGAGGGAAGAACTAAAAAAAAAGACTGACGTGAGTCCACACATCAATCCAGTTTTGATATCCTTAGAATTCCTAAGAGATCAATCATTCAGAGAAAGGTTTATGTGTGCTTGGAGCCAAGCCTTTGAAGAAGAAGTAAAACTGTTATTATTATTCAAAGTGAGGGTGATATTTAGTTATATTTGAATTAGAACAAAGTAACCAGTAGGCATGGAAAAATATTTACTAATCATTGAATTCTCCATTTAGTACATTTTGTCAACCCCAGTTCTATACTCGAACACAGAAGATTTTTTATTATAGATTACCATGATAAAATGGTAATCTGAAATAATCTGTAAAAAGGCTGCTTAGTGGCGCAGTGAGTAGCACTGTTGCCTTTCAGCAAGAAAGTTTTGGGTTCGATTCCTGACCTGGGGTCTTTCTGCATGGTGTTTGCATGTTCTCTCTGTGCATGCTTGGGTTCCCACAGTCCAAAAACATGACTGTTAGTTTAATTGGCTTCTCTACATTCTCCTTAGGTGTGAGTGTGTGTGAATAGTTGTAAGTCTCTGTGTTGCCCTGCAACAGACTGGCGACCTGTCCAGGCTGTACCCCGTTTCTAGACAGCTGGAGATAGGCACCAGCATCCCTCGCGACCCCAGTTATGATAAGCGTGATGATAAATGTATTTGATAATGCAATTTGACTAGCATTAAAAACATTTTAGAGTAGCATTCTGCATTTTTTAATTATCCAAATGATGCAGAATGGCTAAAAATTTAGAGACTCAGAGGCAGAGAGCAGCAAGAGTAAAGCAGGGATCCTACAGCTCAATTAATTACTTCACAAAGATCACTTTTTGAAGAGGTTTTTCACTTTACTTCAGGAAACGTATTACTCTACTTGCAGCTGTTTAGCAGTTAATGCCGAGTGAGTTGATTTGGAGCAAGCTGTATGCAGACTTTAGTGGGTCTGGTCTCTGTGTTGAACTCGTTACCATCTTGTCAGATTTCTCAGACAACTGTTACTGCAGCAAGAGGTCTGCCTATACTCAGCAGAACAGTCAAAATAGCAACACGAGACTGAAGCAGTTAAACAGGTTAGACTAGAATCAACCTTTATTTTAAAGCAAGTTAAACAATTTTGAAGTTTTCTTTACACCTGCAACAAAAAGTTTGAATGTTTATATGCTTAAGGCAGAAAAAATAGTTTGACTATTTTATATTAGTGGGGAGCAGAACCTTCAGGGTAAAGTGAGCTTATGTTTTGGGAGCTTCTATCTATGCCCCTAACTACTAATTTTTTATAATTTTAATGACTCAGAACTAGTCTTTTATTGTCTTTCATTTAAAAATCTAAACACTGAACCTGATGCACTAATCAGAGATTCTTCACTAGACAATTTAAGTTGTATAGACCCTTTATTCTATTTGTCAAATAATAAAAAAAAAAAGTATTTTCATTGATTTGTTTTGTGCTACCAGGGCATTCTATTTCATTCAGTTGTATAGTCCAAGTTCAGATTTATAAAAACTACAGAAATTCAAGCATGAGTAAAGAATACAGTATGACTTTTTCCAAAGAGAAAGGAGCAGATGCTGGTAGTATAAACTAACAGGCTCTCTTGAAGGTTTGAAGTCGTAAACAGAGAACTGGGCATTATGACCAGCAGCCACTACTAAATTGGTGTGTGAAAAATAAATATTAAATCTCACTATTTGTGCTACTTGTTACAAAATACTATTAACTTTGGTGTGAATTCTTAAATTCTTCAAATCAGTCGCCTTTTCAAAAAGTTTAACTTGTGAAATCAAACAGAGTTAGTTAATTTCTGATAAAACCATTGCTAAAGTATTATCTTGTCATGACCCCAATATCAGCTTTTCTTTGGATGTATCACTACTGTTTATACTAGTACCAGTGGTAGTGCCTCTACTACAAAGAAGAATACGAATGGCAATGATTATAAAGAGTTTATACACAATATGTTGATAGAAGCTTTTTTTTTACTGGTCGTTCACTCTTATATTGCTTGTGTAAGCTTAACCTGAGCAGTAATGCCATAGGAATTCAGATAAAAGAGTTTGACAAGACAGTGTTGATGTTGTGTGATTTCAATCCATTCAGAAATGTTAATTTTCCTTAATAAAAACAAGACCATGATGGTGATTTTGATTTTGTGATTCAAATGTTTCATTAAAATTTAAACCATATATAAAATGAATTTAAAAATGATTTTGTTTTTGCTAGCACAATATGCCCCCCAAAAAATGCATAAAAAATTATATTCTTATTGCCCTGAAAACATATCTTTGATTAAGTGATTTGTTTGCCTTGTACAGAATAATAAGTCACAAAATTAAGTGTGACAGATAAGTATATCTAATTCGTCTATGACTACAACTGAATGACCTCCTGGGGGATGAAGAGTTCCTAAAAACACACATCAGCCAAAACCGATGAATGTTTTCTCAAGGCACTACGCTTGACCCTGGACCCTGAGGCTTCTACAATGCACTTAACACCTGAAGTCACATGAGCATTTTTAAAGCCTGTCACCAGCAGCACAAAACAACACTTTTAGCACAAATCTGACAGTGAGAAAAGCACTAAAATGCATCTCCATGATAAATCTAAGCAAATTAAATCTCCACACAGCCTCAGTTCACCCCCCTCTCTCTCTTTCACACACATTGCAGATGGAAAAGAGGGACCACTCTATATCTCGCCAGGTGCTCTAGGAAAAAAAAAAGAGGTCGCTCACAGTGCCATTTCCTCTCACACACAGGCAGCCCTGGCCCAAACACACTGGTACTTTGAGCTCATTACTGGCTATTCACATAATCCTTTCTCTATGTTCTCTCTGCAAGGATACTAATTTCCCAACGAGCCCATCCTCACAGTCCATTTGTTTAAAGATAGTGGTTGAAAGAGGGGAAGCAGACACGTGGTGGAGATTGAGACTAAAAGCTGGTCTTAACAGGGAGGGTTGGGAGGTGTTGGGGAGGGGGATGCCAGCACACTTTCCCCCTCCCTGAAATGAAAGACAATCGTGTAACTACCCTCCATTTTTCTCCATTTGCTGTGCACCAAATGTATTCGGAGGCATTATACTTTGCTAAAGGAG